GATATGATATGGGAATCACACAATCAACCCAATTGTGCGATTATTATGGGACATGTAATGCGAATCACTCAATCAACCCAGTTTCACTAATTTTTGTTAGTCAATCGTGTGCAGGTCACAACTTAGGGCACCAACACAGTATTTTTCCCGTTAAAAGTATTGTTTTCGTTAAATTGGTTTACAATTCAAAACTCCATCTTCATCTTAATTGTCATGGATTGGACGTGATAGACAAGATGACGATTTGTGACCTATTTCTTTACATGTACGACATCTCCTCGGGCGTCTTGTATGAGGAGTTGGCGCGTTTTGACCTTCTTCATTTGAAAAAAAGTCATTATCACCATCGTATAGAGGGCACTTCGCCCTGTTATGCCCGGTGACCCCGCACCGTGAGCACATCTACTGACGCCGTACTCGACGTGATGATCCTTCTCCAGCGGAATAACGTTGAGTCCGTGGCCGACCTGCTTGTTTGGGATCATTTGGCGGAATTACCTTTTTACTCATAATTTCCGGGGGCAAGTGCCATTCATCTGGATGCGGGATGGGGCTAACGGTGCTTTGGTACATCCTTGCAACTGAGTAGGTTTTGTAATGGTCATTAACGAAATCCATTATATCTAACCCGGCTTCCCTGTTACATATCTTAAATGCACATCATATTAGAATATAACAATTTTTTTTTTTTTCTTAAAGCGATAATGTTGTTTGGTGAACATTACCGAATAGCCGTAGATGCATGTAAGCAAGGTAGTAGATCTGTTTCAAACACACGACAATCACATGTTCTTGCCTCTAAATCAACCACGTAGGATCGTGTTTCTTCCATAACCCTATAACGTTGCATGCCGAGCGTGGTAATGGACAGAGTACGACCTTTCTCGAACAAAGGATCCAACAGCAATTGAGTCCACTGCGTTAGCGGATGATTGCGACCCTTGGCGGATGCACGCCGAACATCAAACCATTTCTCTATCGTTGCTCGAACACACTCCAACAACGAGCAAACGGGTAACATCCTGGCCCAACGGAGTTTGTTGTTCAAACTTTCCCATGAATTGGATGTCATGAATCCATAGCGCCGTACAGGTGTAAAACACCTCGCCCAA